ATATATATATTATATATATATATAAAATATATATATAAAATATATATTTATATTTTATCCCATCAGATAAAATAAGGCTGAGAACAGAGCTCTGCAAATATGAAGTATTCCGTAAATGCTAGCTTGATATGAATGTATTATGTTGCTCATTTTACAGAAGAAGAAATTGAAGCTATGAGAAGCTAAAAGAGACTTGTTTAAGGTCCCACGCACAGCACATGGGCAGAGATGTCAGTTCAGGTCCTCATACAGAACCTCACCCCAGGCCAATATGGTGAAACCCTGTCCCTACTAAAAATACACAAATTAGCTGGGCGTGGTGGCACATGCCTGTAAGTGTACCTACTCGGGAGGCTGAGGCAGGAGAATTGCTTCAATGCAGGAGGCAGAGGCTGCAGTGAGCTGAGATCATGCCACTGCACCGCAGCCTGGGCAACAGAGTGAGACTCCATCTCAAAAAAAAAAAAAAAAACCTCACTGCAGCCCTGTGAAATCAGTGAAATAGGTATTATTATTATTCCTGTTTTGTGTAGGAGAATTTTGTTTTTGAAATAGGGTCTCACTCTGTCACCCTGGCTGCAGAATAGTGGCACAATCTTGGTTCCCTGAAACCTCCATTTCCCAGGTTCAAGCCATCCTCCCACCTCAGCCTCCTGTGTGGCTGGAACCATGGGCGTGCACTACCACACCTGCCTAACTTCTGTATTTTTCATGGAGACGAGGTTTTGACAGGTTGCCTAGGCTGGTCTCGAACTCTTTGGCTCAAGCAGTCCTCCCTCCTGAGCCTCCCAAAGTGCTGGGATTACAGGCGTGAGCCACTGCACCTGGCCACAAGTTTTGACCTCGAATGGTGGTGTGACTTAGAGTGACAAAGAACTCAAATCTTTTGACTGTAGCCAAGTGCTTTGTCCACGACTGCAGACAACCTCTGGTCCCGAATGCCAGTGGTAACCTGCCAGGCTTTTAAAAAATGATCTTTTTTGGCCGGACGCAGTGGCTCACACCTGTAATCCCAGCACTTTGGGAGGCCGAGGTGGGCAGATCACCTGATGTCAGGAGTTTGAGACCTTCCTGACCAACATGGAGTAACCCCAACTCTACTAAAAAATACAAAAATTAGCCGGATGTGGTGGCACACACCTGTAATCGCAGCTACTTGGGAGGCTGAGGCAGGAGAATTGCTTGCACCCGGGTGGCGGAGGTTGCAGTGAGCCTGGTTTGTGCCATTGTACTCCAGCCTGGGCAGCAAGAATGAAACTGTTTCAGAAAAACAAACAAACAAAACCCAGACCATTTTCATGAATCAAGCTAAATATATTAAAACAAAGAGTTAATGGTTACTGTTCAGGGTTGTCTTTGGGTTGAATAAGTTTGACATTTAAAGGGATTTCCCTTTAAAATCACAGTTTGACTGCCCAGGTGATGTGAATGACATAACTGGAAGTCTTCCCCCGGCCCGCACATGCATCCTGTCTCCGCTAATTCCTGGCCATCTTGCCGCTGAGTCTGCAGAGTCATATTTCAGATCCTCTATTTTTCCTGTCAGCACACAGCAGCCATTACAGGTTTATTTCTGTAAAAGCAGAGTGAATTATTCATTAGAACATCGTTACAAGCTTTGCAATAGAAAATTATTTTCACTTCTGCGTATAATGAACTTCGCAAAGAGCCAACAAAAGGAGACATTTCGCAGGTATGAAAAGGAGAGACAGGAGGGGGTTGTAGGCATTTATTTTCTTGTCCTAATCAAATAATTCCTCTAATAATTGGCTCTGATAGTTACTAAGGAAATGTGGGAGAGAAGAAACTGAGAATGTAGGTCCTCGACATCAGTGTGTCCCAGAAATCCATTTGCATAGCAATGATAAGGATGGTTGGCTTGTCTGAGACCTTTATTGCTTCAGGTTCTGCCTTTGCTCAGGAATGAGGATGCCCTGGCCTGGGTCTGGATGAAGCAAGCAGGTCTCCTTAAACTGCCCTTCTGGCTGGGTGCAGTGGTTCACATCTGTAATCCTATCACTTTGGGAGGCCGAGGCTGGCGAATCACTTGAGGTCAGGAGTTGGAGACCAGCCTGGCCAACGTGATGAAACCCCATCTCTACTAAAAATACAAAAATTAGCTGGGCCTGGTGGCACGAGCCTGTAATCCTAGCTACTGGGGAGGCTGAGGCAGAAAAATCACTTGAACCCGGGAGGCCAAGGTTGCAGTGAGATGAGATTGCACCACTGCACGCCAGCCTGGGTGACAGAGCGAGACTCTGTCTCAAAAAAGCAAACACAAAAGAAAGCACCCTTCTGAATAAGCATTCGAGGCTTACGATCTTCTATGTGAAGGTCTCCCTGAGAGTGGCTCCACCTGTGCCCACGTGGCCATCACCCCACCATCACTAACACCTGTTGGCTTCTCGCCCCTTTCAGAATCCGGGAATTGACATCGGTGATGTCTCCGAAAGAAGAGCACTAAGGAAAAGTTTAAAGTGTAAGAATTTCCAGTGGTACCTGGACCACGTTTACCCAGAAATGAGAAGATACAATAATACAATTGCTTACGGGGAGGTAATTTGGACCTTGCATGCTTTTGGCTTGGAATACTGTTCAATATGCTGTGGGTTGCTTTGCTGGGGAGAAATAGAGTTGCTCATTCACTCATTCAAGGAGTGTTTTTTGGAGGGGCCATCCCTGACAGCAGGATTCTCTCTAGCTGGAGGGTTGGGGTAGGGAACAAATGTGATGAATGTTAGAATGGACTGTGGGCCGGGCGCGGTGACTCACGTGTGTAATCCCAGCCCTTTGGGACACCGAGGCAGGCGCATCATGAGGTCAGGAGTTTGAGACCAGCCTGGCCAATATGGTGAAACCCAGTCTCTACTTAAAATAGAAAAATTAGCTGGGTGTGGTGGTGCATGTCTGTAATCCCAGCTACTCAGGAGGCTGAGGCAGGAGAATCTCTTGAGCCCAGGAGGCGGAGGTTGCAGTGAGTCAAGATAGCGCCACTGCACTCCAGCCTGGGCAACAAAGCAGGACCCTGTCTCAAAACAAAACACAAGAAACAAAAACAAAAAAGACTGGGAGTGTTCTTGGCCTGAGATATGTAGCAGATAATGAACACTGTTTGAGAAATGTTGACTTTGAGGTCCTCTGGGACCTGTAAGCAGAGCTACTGAGCAGGAAGTCTGGAGGTAAGGAGAGGCAGGGGGCTTGGAGGCCTCCGTCACTCTGTGCTGCGGGCTGGAATCACTTCTCATCAGAGAAAGGAGGAAATGTTCTCAGATTGTGTCTGTGGTGTGATCATATCACCTTTCTAAACCTGAAGGCAAAGCGATTTTTCTCTTGTTACACCATCAATATGCATTTGAGAACATTTTGAAAATAATAATACTAGGGACGAACATTTGAGTGCTTGGGAAGTAGTGGGCACTATTCTAAGTGCTTTCTGCATACAAATTCATTTCACCTTCATCTTATGAGAGACTGGCATTATTTCTGTTTTATTAATAAGAAAACTGAAACTTGGAGAAATTATCTAACTTACCTAAGGTCACAGAGCTTATACGTCATGAAACCAAGATTGGACGTGGACATCCAGATACCAGAGATAACGTGTACACTTTGATGTATGGGCCTCTGGCCTGCATGTGTGTGTGTATACCCATGTTTTTTTTTTTTTTTTTTTTTTTACTGAAACCATTCCGTTTACAATGCCTAATAATTTGAAATTTTACTCAATAATATAGAGAATATGTAACTGTGTCGTTAAATTTTTGCCACTGATCAATATGCTGCACGTGGTTCCACATTGTATGTAAGCTGTGCTTTGCCCGAGAACGTAGACAATCCACGTTTTGTGTAAGCTGTGCTTTGCCGGAGAACGTAGACAATCCACGTTTTGTGTAAGCTGTGCTTTGCCCGAGAACGTAGACAATCCACGTTTTGTGTAAGCTGTGCTTTGCCCGAGAACGTAGACAATCCACGTTTTGTGTAAGCTGTGCTTTGCCCGAGAACATAGACAATCCACGTTTTGTGTAAGCTGTGCTTTGCCGGAGAACATAGCCAATCCACGTTTTGTGTAAGCTGTGCTTTGCCTGAGAACGTAGCCAATCCACGTTTTGTGTAAGCTGTGCTTTGCCTGAGAACGTAGACACTGGTGTCGTTTCCAATTTTAAAGTATGACACCATTGCTGAGAACATTTTCATATAGAAACACTCGTGTATCTACCTTGTTCTTTTTGCAATGCCTGTCTGAGACAGAATTGGGGACACACAGTCAGGCCAAGGAGTAGGGAGCTGGGTGCTCTCAATGTGGCAGAGACACCCCATTAGCTCCACAATCTGGTTTTCTTGCCTGCAACTCCCCGTGACTACCAGGTTAAAGCTAAGAAGAATCCCTTCAACTTAGAGTACTTACATTTTTCTACAACTGTGGATTTTCCTAGCCTTTGCCTGCTGCCTTTTATAGAAAGTAAATCAGCCCCAGGTTAAGTCGTTGGATGTGGAGTGCGGACCCTCCTGAGCTGGAATTGGGAACAGGATGTGCTGGCATCTTGCAAGGGCAGTCTCTGGGGTGGTTAGGGATGCATGGAGACTGGAGCCAGCCTGCTGGGTTCAAATACTAGCAGGCTGCGACTGGCTGTGTGCCTCCTCTTGGCTGCCATTCCCTAATCTATAAAATGGGAGGAAGGAGAGTACCTCCTCTACAGGGTTCCTGGGAGGATAAAGTGAGCTGTGATACGTGGAGTTCTTAGAACTCTACCTGGCATGGCCAAGCGCGGTGACTCATGCCTCTAATCCCAGCACTTTGGGAGGCCAATGCGGGCAGATCACTTGAAGGCAGAGTTTGAGACCAGCCT